AGGGGGAATGGATGTGAGTCGATTGGCCGAAGCTTTGCCCAATGGTGCCAGCGGGGGAGGAGATAAATTCCGTCGAAATGACCTCACCCGCGCCTCAGATCGACCCCTCAGATCACCTCCTGCTGCTGTAGGAGTCTATCGAGCACCCTCTCTATCACCTGTGCTTACTTCTACTGAAGGGGTTGTTATGCGTCCCCGAGTTGCCCCAAGGGCTAGTAATTACCGAAATTCTTCAAATGAGACTGTGTGTAATAGGGAAATGATGGCTTCACCCTTCAGGCTCAAGCAGAATAGGGTAAGCTGTGTTTTTAATTAGTGCCTTCCAATGTCCTTGACATCCATTGACCTTCTTCAAGCAATTTGTAGTGTTTATCGTCTCTAGCTCCTGATATTTCAGTGTGCTTTCATTGCGAAGAAAAAGTTTTGTGACTTGTGATTGGTTAGACGGTTGTTTGTTTTAAAATCTGGACGCACTGATGACTAGTACAGTAATACTTTCAAAACAGTAAATGAACACGCTGCAAAATAGGAAGGTATGCCATAACTTATAAAAGAGAATTTGGAAGAGGATTAGGCTGTCAACCTAGTTTAACCTGCAGAATCCGCATGCATGGGAAGCTTGGATCCGAAATGTACTCAATTGGTTCGATGACTAATTGCTGTCATCGTTTGGGGCTTCCTCGTCAATCTTTCTGCCTTCATGTGTTGCCAAATTGGCTTGTCTTACCTATTAGATATTCTGCATTTAAAGAATTAATTCATCTCCATTCTGTTTCCGTTTTTATAACTTGAGCCTAAGCTTGACCTTCGATCAGGGTACAGTCTTGACTGGTTTGCCCTCCATCCTTTTTTTATGTTCAAAGGGCATGCTTAATTAAAACTCACGTCAATTCATTGTATTTTTCATGGTTGCATGTGGAACAGCGTTGAGCATTGTTAACTAGCTATTCTATCAATTTTACTTAGGAAAAGTGCTAAGGTGCTGTGATCTACCGTTACTACAATGCCCATTGCACCTGTCGTCGTTAAATCAAGAGTTAAAGGTTGTTTCACTTTTATTGTTTTTTTAGGTCGCTAGTCCAACATTGATTGCGTCAGCTTCTCCCCAACCCAGAGAATACGTATCACCAGCAAACTCAGACACTCCTATGACCGACTATGACTATGCCTACAACCGCTCATGGTCTATGGGTGTTCAAGTAAGTGCAGTTCTGGACACACACACACACAGAGACTCTGGTAGCTGAAATAAATTCTGTATCATTCCTCTCCGGTTTTTGTGACCTAAGTTCTTTATTTTAGCTGAACCTTTCACTTAATCTCGCCTCAAATACCGACACATCATTAGATCGGACCTTAGATCAGCTTCACGGTTCCAAACCGGCTTCTCCGCTTCCTGAATCAGCCTCACCTCCCCCACCCCCTCCCCATCGATCGATAATGACCCCGACGTTAACCCAGTTCAGTCCTCCACAATCCCCCAACCCAATGCGCCGCCACAGACGTGATGGCCCCGCATCTCCAGTTAGTGGCTGTGGTTCGAGTTCTCCTCCATTGGTTCAACAAACAGCTGTCTCTCGTGGTGGAATTCGTAATCGAGGAGTTCACAATCCTTTAGCATCGGGGGTCCCTGTTGTACCGTCATCCATGTCTCCTCATTCCCCCTCAGAGGACTCAACTATTAAAGGAGGAGACACATCAGATACATCTGCAACTCCTAGTGTAAACGCCTCAAATCCCGTTCCCCTTCCACATATGTCTAGGCTACTTGCAGACTGGGATAACATGTCTACAGACAGTTGTGAAGAGCCT